GAGCCACCCCCAGCAGTTGTAGTCTGTCCTACATAACTGCTCCATGTAGAGGTAATTGTCGACACATCGGTTTCCGTGGTGACGAAAGTTGTTGTGAAGTACTGCCAGCTGCCACCGGAGGAATCTGCACAGACTGCCTGGCCATTGCCATCGGTGCTACACGTCTGGTCGGAGCTGCAGCAGAGTTGGCCATAATAGCCACAGGAATTTGCGCAGCGCTTTTCGAGGCCAGCCTCATCAAAATCCAGAGGGGAAGCAGCAGAGCGCTGAACTTGCGCCAATAGAGTCAGTATGGATATCGCCGAATGTAACATGCGAGAAGTGTGCATGGTGGACAGAGATATGTGCCGGGATCACGAGAAGAGTGCCAAACTCGTTCAGTCCCTCACCAAGTCCGATAAACCACGGGCACTGTTGATGATATTATTCAAACTTGACCAGACCAGTCACCCCGGACTATGTATGGGTCGGTATCGATAAGAGCTTGTAAACGAAAGACAACAATCTTCAACTTCGTAACCACGTCAGCAAAAATGTCAAAGCAAGCATGGCAAGCAAAAAGTGACAAAAGAATTTTGAAGAGAAAAGAATGAGGGGGTGGATGAGGGGGGTAATCCTCGTGGGTGACCAAGAGACGGTAAGTGACCGTCAGCTCTACTTTGAAGCCCTGTTTCCCAGCCTCCCGTATACTACCCAACCACCGGAATTTCCTGCAACAAAACAACAGCAACGGCCAATCGCTACCTCTAGACAAGAAAAAAAAGCTCAAATGAGGTATTGACATCAAAGTTTACTCATTGAGAGGAATTTCTAATTTTTCCTTCATTGAAAAAGAGGGGGCTGGGAGAGTCCCTGGTTTTTCCTTGTGTTGGATCTTATCGTCGCAATACATTGAACGCTGTGCCCCTCACTGTATTGGGGAAACGGCAGAGACATGAATCAGTCAATCATTGCTCTTGCTGGCCATTTTTGCCTTCCGTGCCTGACATCAGTTTCATACTAATTTTCCATTATTACCAGCGGAACAAAGACGGAACCTGAACTAAATCGCGCGTTAAGTAACTCGAGTCGGTGTGCGAGGATCCCCCGCTTCCATTCGACAAGATCGATCTATAGAATCACACCTGAATTATCTATTCGAGTGGCCCCACGCTGAGTCTATCACCGTCAATCCCAACTACTCCATACTCTTACTCCATCTATGCTTATGTGTTGTCTCGTCATGCTTTAGTGCCTTGCCAGCAAAGCGATTGAATCTGGGACAACACACCGGTGGAAGATTATCCGATGCTGTGGTCCAGACTAGTCTTTTTTCTAGCCTAGTTATTATTCATGCATGAAATTAGCGCTAGCAAATGTACGATGGGTGTATTTCAAGGTACTGGGTACACTATTTACGACAATGAAGCGGTGTGATGCCTTGGTATCTGTCAGTACTCTCTCTGTATGTCATCTTTGTGCGTGTTTCAGTGCCTGGCACAAGGTATCTGGTCAATCCAATTCTGGTCATCAGTATATCCTGGGCTATATGGTTCAGACAGTAATGTTGGGATCTTGTGTCCCCTTATCCTAGATATGTACATATTTAAACGCCCCAGAACAGTATATTTACACCTTGGCATAGCTCTGAACCATAACATCATTCAATCATCCTCCATCCTCTCCAAAAGAAAAGCATGCATACGAGGTCAAACCAAGTGAAAGTCCAGCCATAAGCTTTCATGCAATATGTGCGTGAAAGACGCCCCATTCGTTTAACTTCCAGGAGATCAATCTGTTGTAACATATAGGCAAAAGAGAAAGAACAAAGAAGATATTTTCATATCGCATATCCACCATGAAGAAACGTAAAAGCATCAACGCTAATCAAATAAACATACCGGCCACGCCAATAACCATTCCAAAGACGAGATCTTCCAGACTGGAGGTCCGTCCCGGGGGTGCCCTGTTCATGTCTCCAGTTCCAGTAGCATACGTGTCGCAGTAACCCAAATTGAGGCCATGGCAGGCATTCATACTCAAGCTAGAACAGGTAGAGACTGCCCCAGCTGCCCCTCCGCCAGCTCTGGTTACACCTCCACCCTCAGCTGCCACCGTGACTGCATAGCCTCCTCCTAGACTCGAAAGACAGCCAGTGTACTCACTTTGACACAAGGAGTAGTATGAGGAGCATACACCGGCGTTAGGGAACGTCGTCGGGACATAGACGAACGGATAAGCGCCTGGCATCGTCGAGCCAGTAATGGTAGCATCATTGGGCCCCGTGGTGGTCATAGAAGCAGTTGCGGTTCCTGGGAACCTGAAGCTGGTCGAGGCAGAGGTGGAGTCTCCGGTAAGTGAGCCTGTACATTTCGCTCCAGTCGGACAGCAGGCAATATTGTCGGCGGCGTCACGAGAGCAGACTGAACCTTGTCTGCAGCAGACGTCGGACCTACCCATGTTGGAGCATGGGTCATACCCAGCCGGGCAGCTGTCAGCCCGCTTTAATATACGTAAGACTTCATATGCCCTCTTGTTTGCTTCTGCGGATTGCGGCGGAGAAAATGGCAACGTCTCTATCGATAACACAGTCGAGGCAAAGAATGCGGCCGAGATCCACCCAAATACCTTCATTCTAGCGGCTAGAGCTAGAGTCCGCCCACTGAATTGTATATAGATCTCGAGATCGGCGTCCGGTTTAAATTTCGATCAGGATTCTGGGGGGGGATTGGGTGTTGTGTGGTATGCGACAGTAAGAATACCGTGCGGTCAACAAACTACTAAAAGCGGCAACCGCAGTGTTAATGGGTGGTCGCAAGACTCGAAACAAAGCAACATTCAAATTGACGGGTATGTATGAAAAGCAACTTACACTCAGTGGCTAAATTCCAGCTCCAGATATCTTCGAGAACGGTCGGCCACGGTACCGGTGACCGGAGTCGGGTGGATGATGTATTCTGCATCGGGCTGTACTTGTTCTGGCAGTTAGGCGTAATCTCCACCGAGATCCCTGCCACAGCAACCGCGTGTCCACCCATTGTCCAACCACCTGCCCAGCTATTAATATAATCCTTTGACATCAAGGTGCATTTCTCGATAAAACATACTCCGCTGCAGCCCGTGCAGCTTTACCACTTTTTCCTACCGATCCTCATACGTGGAAAGGAAAGGGGAAAATTAAAAAAGAAAGAAAACATGTTATGGGGTAAAAGGGTTTTCTCTTACATATGGTTAGTCTAACGCTCAAGATTGCCCTCCAAAAATGAACTCTCAGACAATGCATGCTTTTCCATCTTTCCTCTTACTAGAGTTCCCACGCCGAATACTTCTTGATACGATTATCTTAACCTTGAAAAGTGGCTGTATTACAACAGTACGTAACGTTGTAGGTCTAAACGTTGAACTGCCAAGGTATAGTAGTAAGTTCCTACTTATTCTTAACCTCTCCTTACCAAATTCAATATATATTTCTATGGTTTTCTCGGATAGGCGGCTTTAAAAGCCACGAAATCTGACCCAAACACCACGCCCGACCGGCACAGGAAGCCCGTATCTTAGTCGAGCATGCAATCCGGTCTCCGTCGGAACTCCCGTCTGATCAGTCTACAACACGAGAGTCACCACTGAGTTAAACAAAACTATTACATATGTTGCCGGGCGTATGAGGGCAGCACGTGGGTGGATATGTTTAGACAGTTACTTAGGGACGATGAACGGGTATGTATAGATAGGAGGTATTTCAGTGTGGAAGTACTTGGTTCTACTAGCTTTTTTGAATTCTGCAAGGTGTGAGTGTTTGGCAGGACGCAACGCTCAATATAAGTGCAAGTGCCTTATCGAGCTTTTTACAAATCAACACAGAGACATCCTGACTTGTACTTCTGTTAGCCATCCACACCCCACAAATCAGAAATCCTCTCCAAAGCCAGGAAGATCCTGCAAACCAACTCGGCATTCAAGCCCGGGAAGGTCAGTCGCCGGAAACTCATTGCGGTGAGTAATTTTGCTAAGTGTATATGAGGAAACACTATACTTCACAAAGGAATGGGCCTCGGTTTCACCGTTCCTATTTTTGAGGCCTCAGAAAGAGAACACAACAACCAGTCAGCGAGCCAAATGCCCCAGATTCAATGAGTCATTTAATGTCCACCTCGTACATTGATCTATACATTAGTAGATACCTTAGCCAGATATATGTTGGAGCCGAGGGAGACATTCTCCACACTGGGTGCCCGCACGCAGGATCGAGGGCAATGAGGCGACGGGCAAGGTAGCGGTGGAGACAACCGAATCAGTGCTATGCTTAGACATATTCTTATCACAACACTAGAGTCTAAGACTAGTAAGAGATATAGTATGCTTAGGAAGGTGGTGAATAGTGAACGTGGCCTGCAAATCCTGTCAACTAAACGACACGATCTCTCTGAAAAGAACCAGACAACCTCCGCCTCACGGTATGCCAAAATTATCTGGGGCTTTCAATGCTGGCAAAGACATTGAGAACCAGTGATCTTGGCAGTCAATGATGTGCACTAACGTGACCTTGCTCTGATACGGTTCATCGCCCACCTTTCCAAATAATATTCGGATGTGACGCCCAGGTAGACGCATTTAGTGAACTTCCACAAGGACCTACGCAGCGCCCACTGAAGACGACATTGCGCTCAGGTAATTTGTTGTGAGCAAGTGTTGAGCTCAATTTGAGAGAAATTTTTATGAAATCTTATACCAAATTGGATACTTTAACTTGCGAATTAAAAGCTTTCTGAGTAACTACTTGTAGGTAATCTTGAATCCAACATTTTGGACTGACTGCACTTTCTAAACCATTACTAGTGCCTGCTTAATTTCAAGAGGAGCTTAGGCATGTAGTTTTCGCGCTCAAGGTAAGTATGTTAGTGGGGAATACGGGTAAAGAGATAAATTATAAAACAGGACGCAATCAATGGTGGGTGACATGTGACTGAGGGGAATGTCATCACATCTCAACTCTAGCACCGTCCCCACCATATCTATGGAGAATCCATACATTGCCCACAAATTTAACAAGGCGAGACGAATAACCTCTTATATGCTGTCATTCAGTGGGTATCGGAGTTCAATCATTGACAGACTTCTATAACGTATCGCCCGCGAGCATGTCGACAGGAGATGGTTCAACCTCAATGGCAATACCTATAGTTGATTTCACATCCTGGAAGAATACTCAGGACCAAGCTTCTCGGCTAAGAACGGCACAAGAACTTGTCAAAGCCTGCCAAACCGTGGGTTTTGTCTACATCATCAACCACTCGTTGTCCGAGTCTGTCCTGGATGAAGCATTTGATTGGATGAAACGTCTTTTCAATCTCCCTGAAGAGGAGAAAATGAAAGCGCCCCATCCTGAAGGTTGGGCAGTGCATCGGGGTTACTCATGGCCGGGATTGGAGAAAGTCTCCCAGACGATGGCCACAGATTATGATGAAGAGGCAAAAAAAAGGTTGCGAGAGATCCCAGATGTCAAAGTATGTTGTGGCTTGCCTCGTATAAGTACTAAAGTCAACCATTGGAATAATATTAAAAGGACAAGGCTTTTATCTTACAGTGCTACAGGAAGTATATGATATCGGGAGTGATGAAAACACTGACCAACCCAATCAATGGATACCAGACGAGGCCATCGCGGGCTTCAGGGCTTTTATGATCAAGTTCTATTGGGAGTGCTGGGCAGTCGGCAAGGAGCTTTTACGTGCTCTAGCCATTGGATTGAATCTAGAGGACGATTCTTACCTAGTCAACAAGCATTCGGGACATGGTAATCAACTACGGCTACTACATTACTTGCCCGTTCCAGCCGAGGATCTTGAGAAAGAGCGGACAGCCCGTTGTCCAGCGCATACGGATTGGAGTACCTTAACTATGCTATTTCAAGACGATTGCGGGGGTCTGGAGGTTGAAGATGCTTCGTGGCCTGGCACATTCGTTCCTGCACCTCCTCTGAAGAATGCCATTGTGGTAAATGTTGGTGACCTTCTTCAAATGTGGAGTAATGGTAAGTGCCTTATTCCGCTTGGCACAATGCGACAATATATGGTCTAATCCAGACAGACCGACTCAGGTCTACAAACCACAGGGTCAGAATGCCACCACTCGCCGATCGCTATGAGGGTCCAAATCGGATGACCCGCGAGCGGTTCTCGATTCCCTACTTTATGTCTCCAGACCCGACATCTGTAATTGAATGTATTCCATCGTGTATGAGCGAGGACCAACCCGCCAAGTACAAACCAATTACACAGGCAGAGTATAACAAGATGCGAGCCTCTATGATGTACTGAGCACGCCCGAGTAAATTTGCTCAGCCAGGTACTTCTTCTATATAATTAGGATATTGTCAGCCCGCTTTGTTGGAAATGGAGTTGAGCAATTGACCAAACGGTATATTGGGTAGCAATCATCGCATGTGCTTGGATTTGTATATTGCGCACAATCCAAATTTTGACCGCGCTCACCAGCATTTCTTTGAACGGCACCATCTCCAACCAACCTGAACGAATAAGAAGTGCCAGTCGAGCACAAGTACTAACATACTCCGTATATGTACCTTGAAGCCCTAAGCCCTAAGTAATACCTGTATCTGGAAAACGCCCCGCCGGGCGGACAGCGGAGTCAACTGAGCTTTGGCCGCCGATAAGTTCATCCCCGAGCCTCCGTCTTTGCCTCTATACAATAACAAATATTATAAGCCTTGCCCGAGCCAATCATACTCCTAGCTCACACGTTGCTACCAATCGCGGATACTTATTAATCGCAACTATTTACAATATCTCACTTTCTTGAACATCCCACGACGGCGACTTGCATCCCCTCACCAAACCCCTCATACCTAACCATCCCCCCTCTACCGTGCCAAAATGTCTCTCCCTAATGAAGCCCTGCAAAAGGTAGCCTACTAAACACCTAATACATCGATGAAACCCCTAGCTAATGGCAAAATTCGATGACCAGCTCCTCCAAGAACTTGAAAACCGTATAGTCACCTCCCAACAACAGATCGGAATCGCCAAGGCCCAAGTGACCACAAAACAGAAGGCTATCAGACTGCTAGACTTGACATCCAATGAGATGAGCTCATTGCCTAAGGACACGCCTGTCTATGAAGGTGTAGGGAAGATGTGAGTGGGCTTCTACCTTGGACGATCTATTCTTCGCATGAATTCGGCATTGGAAGAGAAAGACATGGCGCTAACTTCGACTTGCAATAGGTTCGTGGGTGTCCCAATGTCGACGGTTGATAAACGCTTGGTGGCCGAGAAGGCGGAACTCAAGTCGGATGTGTCGGGGTTGGAGAAAAAGTTGAGTTCGCTGGAGATGACGCATAAGAACAGTATGGAGCATTATGAGCGGTTTGTGAAGTCCGGTGGTAAGGCTTGAGTTCAAGCGTATCCGGTACTGAAGTCATGCTGGAGTTTATCGTGGGACTATTCTGGCTTTGAGAACAGCCGGCTTCGGCGAGTCGGGTGTTTTTGAGAAACAGTAAGGAGAACCGACGAAGCGTTCTTTAACGAGACCTAGAAGGAGTTGTTCAGGATAAAGGATGAGGACAGCGAGTTATGATGTTACTCGTGCAAGCCTGGTACTGTGTATAAAGCACTCCAGTTTGCTTGGATATACAACGGTGTCCGACTAACGGACGGAACTTTTGGCTGTGAGGCCTACTGGCTGGACCAGTCGCTGAGACAGCGATCGGCTACTCTGATGCCTAGCGAGTGTCATGTTTACCTCGGGAAATCAAATTCGGGCACATGTCCTTAATACTTGATTATCCGCTGGTGTTTCTGATAACTAGGTAGAAACCAATGTTAATAATATCCTCACAGATCAATATCTCTATCACTCTTCTGTAACTCGTCTTCAGGTACTAGGATTACGTGGGTGCGACCTCTTGAACAGAGTGTGCCAGACAAATCAGATCGCGCATTATAAGGCTTTGCTCTTCTCCAGCTTCGGCCCGGCAGAAAGTCACGATCGTGAAGAGAAGGTCGGTCAACTTCATTATCGATGAAGTTTTCTAGTTAACGCTCTTTTATGACTTTCGAGCATATTTGCTCGTGGTGTATAACCAGAGCATTGTTGCACTCAGTTCGACTCATTCTCCAACTGACATTATGAGTCTTAACTGACCAGTGAGGCATCTGGTACGGAAGTCTAGTGAAGGTGTCATTCAGACAAACGTACTAGTAGATACACCTGGATACGTACCTACGTTTTTGCCAGCCATCACAAATTTTCCTATTCTATCTAGCGTTCTAGACTCTGAGCCGTAGTTCAGGTCGACATCATATAGAGTTCAGCCCTTGTATAATTGTAGTCTTGAAGGCTCGACATCCTTGAATGTGAATTTGGATTCTTCCCCTTTCTACTTCTATCCCTCTTGATTGACCTCGTCGTTATGCTAATGTTCAGGATAGTTAGCTGCTCTTGTGAGTAGATGTCGGGAGAAACCCGAGGGTCCGCCAGATGAAACCCCATGAGATATATACGGTTTATTACTTGTGGTATACATGTAAAGCTTGCTGCAGCCTTTGGCATACAATATTTTTATGGACAGAACATATGTATTGACTGCGGTTAGAGAAAGACTATAATTTTTGTTGTTCCTAGGCTATAATCTCAAACTCTTAACGCTTGCTACTGTTGCTTGCGAATCTCTAAAAACAGTATGGTGTGCCAGTGTCAATTCAATCCTGACAAGAGCGAACAGAGGTATGTGATAGGGATACGTTTCTGACTAGGCATTGCTACTGCCTAGTCATGAATAAATAGAAGGCTATGACCTAATTTCTTGTAAATCTCCGTCCTCGCCAACCAATATCCTGCGGCAAATAGCTCCTCTCTCCTTTTATCCGCCGCGAACAAATCACGACATGTCCTCAAACAGGTCGTCTCCCTCTCAATAATTCCCTCTAATGCCTGCTTCCCTACCTCGGAGAGCAGTCCTGGACACTCTAACACAGCTTTCTGCAAATCCAGAAAGGTCAATAGCATTCCTAGGAGGATCTCACCATTCCTCACAGGATATTTTGAGGCGCTTAATATTGTTAATGAAAATTCACACGCAGACTGTGTGAGAATATCCGACAATGAATTTGGTAGAGGGTTAATACCCTTGCGAGACAGGATCTCGAGTCCAATATCGACTAGGTCGGGAGTAGAGGCGGCGCTGACGGTGTGGTGGAGCTCATCCATGCCAAATATCCCATCTGCCTCAGGGCTGAGGCCATACTGAGCCCTAAGTGTGCGAGTAACGGCTGCACCCAATTCGGTGGCTACACGAGAAGGAACCGTGACAAACGATTCTAGGAGAGAGATGTGGGTAAACCACATGGAGATAAACTTGGGCCAGTTCTTGTCAAAATTGATTAAAAGAGGGTCGTGAGTGAAATCTTCGCCAAGCGGAAGAGCAGGATATTCAGAACAATCGAAATTCAGGAACGGGTCCGGAGATGGCGCCAGAGTTGGATGTTGGAGGAATCTCTTTTGCCCAGTGAACCTCCAGTAATTAGCCTGTGCATCATTGCCAGTTGCCCGGGGATCCATAGAACTTATCCAGCGTTCTAACAGATTCACCTCCTTTAGTGTGAAAGCTCCAAACATTTTCCCTCCGCGACGCATTTCCCGGATCAGCCTACTCTTATCTGGATTACCCCTGATAACCCATGGGGCAGCGTCGCTCAATTCTCGAAGAAAATCCAGTTTGCTGCTATCAGATGTGATATGACTGGTATTCAGCCAGTCGGACAATGGCTTACCACCGATCTTAGCGGGGCATGCAGTGTGAATCTTCTGCGCCACTGCTGCTTTCGCAATCAGAAGGTTTACGACTTCCTCATCATATGGCCCGGGGATGCCATTGTTCTCCGCATGGTAGTCAATGTCCCCTCCGTCTTCGATTACCGCCGACTCAATGCCATCCCCAAGATGCTTAGATAACGCATATCCTGCCTGAACACGTCTCCAAGCAATCTCTGCGGCCTCAGGCCCTTCATCACGCACAACTAGCGCTAGATATTGGGCTACAGTACATGCTGCCATTATAGCATGCCCAGAATGTGCGTTATTCATAGTGACCTGAAGTAGGAAATATTGTGCATCAATGTTGAGCTCCTGCAGCTCGCGTGCCAAAGTCATCGTCTCAAAACTAAGTCCTTCAAAATGGAGATTAAACCCGATAATCTCAGGTAAGAACTCCTGTGGGAACAATGAAATGAGCAGTTGTACTACTACCGCTTTGAAAGCCCGTCTATCGTTCGTATTGGGTATTTTTTCGCCAAAATCTCGCTCATACGGTTCCGGTAATTTCACGTCTAGACCCTTCAACATTTCATTATAGATATAGGTGTGATGAAGGCTTAATATCCCATCCCCAAGCTCCTCAGAGAGAATCTGCCATAATTGCCTTGTGACGTGTCTGTGTGCGAAAGGCGTGTTGATATTATTAATGTGACCTAGCCAGGCGCCATCCACCAATTTAAGTGGTGCGAGTCGTGTCAGAACCTCAGCGGCGTGCTGTCGATTTGACACCAACACCCTTGGACTCCCACTCCTCCTGTTTTGGATGTATTTCTGATAGGAGTCCTCCACTCCTTGGTGACTTGTCCGGAGAAAGGAAAAGAGTTTTCCGTCAGTGTATGATTGAATTGCGAATATTCCTTGGCCTTGGCCTTTGTCGTACACCGTTGTTGTGATTGCGTCCGAAAGCATGGAAAGCAGCAGGTCCCGAGCTCCTGGTAGTATATCTTGATGGTCTTCGATATTCTGGAGCTTATAGTAAAGAGATCGGTAGTCCGTAGTGCTCCCGCCCGTTCCATAAGCAGGTCGTTTTGATGTAGCCTTGCTACACTTTTCCTCCTTTACTGCATGTGTTGCAACACCGGGTTTCCGTCTTCTCCAACATCTTGTAAGTAGCAAACAGAAACAAAAGAAGAAGAAGAAGAAGAAGAATAATAATAATGCGAGGTTGGGAAGCGAAGTCCGCAACAGCGGAACATCGAAAAATTGTAAGCTCGTAGCAAGATTTCGTAGGGTTCGATAGTCATTGTCATTTAAAGATGTCTCATTTCGAATTGGAACGACCTCTACGTCGTCAGACAAGGTGCCACGAGACCACCAGTACGATGGTAGCCCCATCTCCTGAACCGGTAGCTTTATACGTACTCTTCCAGTCTCAGTATTAATATCTCAATGTGGTGTTACTGTTTCAAAAATCCAACGAAACAACCCATAATATCAAAGTGAAGCTAGGGTCAGGGCTCAGGTGTAGAGGATTTTTTTTTTTAAAAAAAAAAGGAAGAAACAAAAAAACAAAGAATAAATTAAAATGACATAAAACAGGATCGGCGACTTGGAGGGAGATATCCTCGTGAAGCAGCCAGACTACCGGTCCTTTTAGATTACTTCAGCAGAACTAGAGAGTGCTCTATAGTTTCAGAAACTCCACCTTTTCCACCAAAGCCCGTCAATGTTGGGATCACAGCGGATGTCTAAAGGTCTTGTTGGAGCCACTTTCATGTGTCGGTGAGCTGGATGAGTTTGAAAGAACCCATCGACTGTATCGGCTCTGGTTCTCAGCTGAAATATTCTAGGGTACCCACTTCTACACCGTAAACGGATCATTCAGGTGGGGATCAGTTCGGCTATAAAGTTAGGTATAACACAGTACTAGTCCTACTTAATTACTAGCGTATCAACGGATCTTACCGATCGTACCGCGAGATCATGAGCTCTGCTATGATTAGAAACCCAGGAATGCCGTAGCCCAGAACATCCGACACGTGGCTATAAGCCCATCAGGATGTGGTGGAAGGTTAGATGTTAGCTACGGAAGCTTGAACTACTATCTGGGTGGTTTGTTCAATGCTCACTACGATAAGTGGCAGATATAAACATCCAACAACAGCTTCACAATACTTCAATCATCATATAAAGCTATTAATGACGGAGGATTCTGATGCAAAGCATCCTTCACTAGAGCTCCACTTTTGGCGCATCTAACCAATATTCGGGATGGCCTAACCGATCAGCCTCCTGCCATTCCTTGTTGCTTTCGTTTTCCTGACGGATTGCTCCGAGCAAGCCTTTCAATCCCTCAGCCATAGCCCTTCAGCTCGCCGGGGTAGAATTTCTTCGCCACAGAATTCTACTCAAGCTCTTTACATGACTTATAATGTTTTATATATCTCAAGCTCCATCCGTATCGGATGTAATACAGACACAGAGCAATGTCCCTTGTGAGCAACCTGGAGCTCAAATTGAAACTGGCTTGCCCACAGCGGTACTATTGGCTGAGCCGAAACCATGTGCTGCAGGAAGACTGAACTGGCGAATTTTACTCACAGGGAAGAGAGTATGCTCTAAGATCCCTACGATGCCGTTGCCTTCTGCAACCGTCTCAATGCACACTGCGGACTCTTAACTTTGATTTGACCGTTTCCGGATCATCCAATAACATGATCTTCGTATGTTTCGTATGTGACGATGACATTGCTGCCCCAGTAAGCCGGGGAAGTATATAATTTAGCAGATGAATACGCTCCTGGTAGCCAAGTTGTGTCAGACCTCGCTGCTAAGTGCACATATTTAGCATCCTGTCTGATTGAATGAAGCCAAGAGGTGATATCTACCTGGGTTTTGCCACCAAACTGAATATCAATATCATAGTACTCTGATGATGCCTGAAGTAAAGGAGTGAGTAAGGGACTCGGCATAGTTGTGCCTCCGTGTTCGTCTCCCGTCTCGCAGACATCCTTTAGGGAACTCAGAGTTAATATTCACCAGAGGGCATGGGAGAACTTTTTGGAGTTCTGGTAAGTAGAAATTTGGGGACGTTTCACTCGGGACAAATGAATCCCCCTTGCCTTCAATGCATACTCTTCTTGAACTCCTTCGACGGCAACCATTGTGTTAGAGTACATGGGAATAACGTGCAATCTTGGAAATGTGTCCTGTAGATTGATCACCTAGTTGATAACAGACTACAAACCACAGGATCTCGTCCTCCTTTTATGGTAATTTGCGGATTACTATATCGTTCTACAGATAGTGCAAACGGCAATCGAGAATAATTGTCGAGTACACACACAGATCCAAGCAGATATGGTTGATAGATTTTAGGTGGGTCAGTCCCGAGGTTGGACCACAAAACACAGCTAGCAGTGTCTTGGTGAAAAATTGGATACCATCTCGATACAGTGAGAGATGTGTTGGCTTGTTGGTGATTCTCAATGAGCCCGTGTGAGGCCAATTACCAATCGAAAGTATCGCTCTTACATTGTTGATAAAGTCGGTGTGTAAAGACTTTTATTTGGCATGGGTGTTCCTTGGCATTGTGAATCGACCAATATATACGGCTAAATCGGTTTCGCGTGTACGTACAGTACTGATGTCGATTCTCTCCTCAGGTATTTATCCTATGGAGGAGTGGAGCTCAGGCGGCATTGAGCTGGAATTACTCCGTACTGACGTGTATTTATTCATTTCCTATTGTAGATTGGATCGACAATGCTTGCAAACTTACTTCGGCGTAGTTCCCTCCACCTCGTAACTTGAAAGCCGTGTAAATTCGATTTCTATAATACTTTATCTGTTGTACTTGTCTATTGTATGGTATGGTACATGCAAAGCCCCTTCAACACACCTTTAACCAATGGTCTTCATCACCAAATAACTTCCTATGGATATGCCTGACTTAATCTTTCCCGCTCTATAAGGTTCAGATAATGACACCTATCGAGTGGCTTGCGCATGCATTGCTTAGCCTCGTGCCCCAAATCTCTACATCGCAGGTCCTCGGCTCACCTGGTTGTACTATATCCACTATCCACTTGTGGATGGCAGTGATGCTAACGAACTTAAATGGGCCGTTCAGGCTATATAGTTCGCCACCTAATACAATAACTCCTTTAGCTGAAGTGCTTCGAGAAGACTTCTACGTAGCCCACGGGCAGCTAATGTAAAAAAAATAGTACGCAACGTATGCAATGATGTCACTTTATGATACGGAGTAGTATATCCTGTTTTCTTTTCGTCTCCTCTTTCACGTTTTTCTCAGTAACAACAATTCTCTAATACTTGGAACAATTGCGATGTGAATTTACCTGTTATGCCCCTATCCTATAAGGACACTTCCCGCACAGAGCTATTGATTCCGAGTCCTAAGTTACAGATTTGTTCCTACTATGTCTCTACAACCCGGACACTGTCTAAACTTGCGATTCCATAAGTCCCACCATAGTTTTTATCCACATTCCAACCGTTGACTTCGCCAAGTTGGACCTGTTTAATGCGGGAGAAGGGTCTGGTGATGAAGACAAAAGCTGCTTAACGCATCTTGCTTGCCGGTGTTCTTTTGCCTAGACCTAAAAATGCGTTTGGAATCAAGCTTATGCTACGGGAGGTCAATGATGCCTGTGTCGCCTCTGATAGATACTTTGACCAGTCTCCGGAAACGAGGATGAAAGACTCCCGCGAGGGTCAGTCAGCTTCCAGCGATAGAGGAGGGAGCAAAGGAACGCTGGAATAGTCATAGGTGATCTATAGCATTGTGTTCAGCATCTACTCAATCGAAAGGTACATGCTCGAATACTACGCAGAGCATAAGTAAATATTACCTTTACGACAGTGAATCTAACATATACATATACCTAAATTTTCAAGTTCTTGGTGATCAGAAAGATAGTCAAGCGACCAAGGCGGCCATTCAGTCCTAGTGGATCTGCATCCTATGGTTCCTATACCGCCTGTTGACAAGGCCAACGTGCGCAGAAGTGCGTAACAACATCTATATATCTTTTCAACACCTAATTCTTAGTACTCTTACCCAAAAGCTCCTCCCTAATAGCTTCCAAGCCCCTCCTCTGCGCCCCAGATTCATCAAAATTATCCTCCGCAAGCCAACCCTCCAAGGCCTCCTTAACACCTCTACCATCCCACTCCTCCCTCAACATCGAAAACCAAGCCGTATCCCTATTCCTCCCCTTAACAACCATATGCTGCCTAAACACCCCCTCAAACACAAACCCAAGCCGCTCCGCAGCCCTCCTCGACCCCTTATTCAGTGCATTACACTTCCACTCCACGCGCCGATACCCCAGCTCCTCGAACGCATACTTAAGCAGTAGATAGGACGCCTCTGACGCGCCTGTCGTGCGCTGTAACGCAGGCGAAAACAACACCCACCCGATTTCGAGCCGTAGTTGCTCAGGCACGATGCTCATTAAAGTGATCCAGCCCAGGACTTTTTGGGTTTTATCGACGATGGCGTAGAAGAGGGGATCGGTGGAGTTGCATTTGGTAGTTACTGAGACTTGGAATTTGTCGAAGTCAGTCTCTGGGTAGGGGCCTTCTGGGAGATAGGTCCATGCTGATGCTTTGGTGGGGTCGGAAGTTCCGCCGACGAGGGACCAGAGGGCCTCCGTGTGGGAGGGGGATAGGTGGATGAGGTCGATTGTGCGGCCTTGGAGTTTTTTGGGGGTGGGTGGTTGGGCTGAGGGTTGGTTGACTGAGTCGCCAAGGGGGGTGGTCATTGTTACTATGTTAATTGGGAGCCGGTAATGACTATGAAGTTCTATAGTATTGGGATGGTGAGGGAGGTGTATGATTTTTGGAGATTTTAGAAGGAAGGACTGGGAGTGACTCATACATATAGTTGTTCGTTTGCTAAATATATGTCCTGAAAACTCTATTTGATTCACTTATCCACTATGTATTTAAGTTAAGGTAGTGTATGCGGGTCTTGTTAGTGTGTGGGAATAGGGAGCCGAGGGGGAGAAAGACAAAGAAAGCATGATAGGTGTTGGGTGAGGTGTACTGGAGGGAGCGGCGGTAGGTATCTACTCCGTACTGAGGTACGAAGTACTGTCTACGATATAGTAATTTCCTATACTAACACACACGCCCTTACCTCTTTAGGAAGGCAAAGCGTCTCGGAAATTGAGATAGAGTTTTCTTAGCATTGCAGCAATTAGGCGCGGCCACAGCAGCCTGTCTGCGCCCGCGGCGTGTTCTGCACGTTATCTTAAAATGCCCGCCCACGATGCAGTGACTGTACAGTTCTCCGGACTCAGATACAATACAACTTTAATCTTTCGAAGAAATGCAAAATCTTTTCTCTTCTGTTCTTTTACGGCTTCATGTTACAAAGGCGAGGACGTCACCAGCTCCTTTCGATTATGGTGATATAAAAGTATTCAGCGTCCATGGGTACTAAAGCTGCAGCTTGATTTTGAAAGTTCGAGTTTCCGGAGAATACATGAGTATGTATGTACATACACACCAAAGCAGGTACAAACCTTCTAGTAAATACTATACAGAGGAAGTAAAAGACATTCCATCTCTGCTTGGGAGTACATAGCCCACATAAGATAAAACCATCCCTGATAAACTGCCCAAACCCCTCACTAGTACTAATCCGCACTAAATACTAGAAAGTTCCCCACCCGACACAAGGCTGACGGTCACTGACTTTTCCTTCATCTACATGACACCCGCCGACATCATGTGTATCAGGCAGCAAATCCAAATGATCATCAAATTTGATCGAATTAATTCCACGAAAAATCACTGGAAGGCAAAAGAATATCCGCATCCATTCGTCACGCGCGCGCCACCTCTTATCAGAAGATCGATGGATGATCAAAGAAAGTTCTGGTTCCGCGGGATTAACCGCCTTGCTTTCCTTGGTTGAGGGCCGTCGTTCTACCATAGTAGTAATATCTATGTATAGTAATCCGTAGGTACTAAGGATAAACGGGGGTCTTGATAAGACGACCTGGGTCAAAGGGATGTTTCACATAATCGCTGGGCTGCAGGAGTGCTTGTTTGGTTGCGCTCGGGCTAAGTTGGACTAACTTAGGGCTGTCGAGGCGCGCGGGGAGGGATTCATTGGGTATCGTTGGGAGGTACGGTCGGTAGGAGTGGTAGGTGCTAGTAAAGGTTTATTCGAAGAAATTCATGTCGTTTAGTGTACTATCTATAGATACTCATCAATCATGGACATTTGTTATATCTAGGACCCTTCTACCAGAGAGATAAAGTCACCAAGTGGCCGCCCGATGCGGATCATCCCTCAGCCTGACCCCCAAAACCCAAACTGCCAGTCCAATGGGTGATTCCTGCCCAGTGATCACGACAGTCGAATAACAAACGGCTTTTCTTCTCTTTTGTCCCCCACTTTTCAGCTGGACCGCCCGCGTTTACGAGGCACGGGGGCTGGTCCGTTTTCTTTCCCTCTGGCACTGAGGCTCAGTCTTATTTCTCTTCGCTTCTCTTCTTCGTCCGGTTATCTTTCGCTTTCTTTATTTTTTTTACTTCTTTCGCACCCAGAGGTTACCCCTCCTTGTGCTTTGCTTTTAACCCCTGTCATCTTCTTGGGAATTCTTAATCCCACCACAGCTGTTTCTTGGAAAGTTGTGTTTGCCAAGTGTTTCTTTCCACTACGTCACTTCTTGTGTCTCCTCTCTTGAATCACAAAACCGCCCCGCTTCGACAGTCCACATCCTCAACTGTCATCATTGGAAACACAAAAGAAACCTAGACCCCAGTTTATCACAGAAAAGAATAAGAAAAAAAAATAAAATTAAACCAAAAAAAAGGGAGGGGTGACACAACTCAAAGAGCAAAAAATATACTCTTCACCAAGATGCCTCGTCATCAACACATTGTCCCATGGACTGATTCCGAGTCCGACTACTCAGAGTCGGACTATTCCCTAGAGAACGGCCGCCGTCGGACATCCTTTAGGAGGCGTTCCTTCTCCCGTCATCGCTTCAGCCCCGATCACGGTAGCACCACTTACCTGAGTCCCGTTGTGCAAGACGTGCATTTGCACCGCTCTGCATCCACGGGTGCCCGGCGACGACAGTCTCATGAGCGTCCTCCGCCACCTCCGGCCGTCATCGTCGATATCAAAAACGACTCGCGGAATAAAGGCTCCAACAGAAGTGCCAACAGGGCCCGTAAGGACCAGCACCAGGAGACTTATATCGATCCCTACGAGTCAGAGGACGAGACCCTCCTGCGTGCTCATCATCGACGGCCTCGCGCCAGCACTGCCAGTACGCCAAGAGAGGCTTCACCGCGGCAACATGAGCGGGATTATGAGCTGGTGATTGATCAGCGGCTGCTGGAAAAGAACGACCATCGACAGGATCTGGAGCTGTTGAGACAGCAGCAGGAAATAGAGCGTTTAGAACGGGAGTTGGCTCGCAATCGGCTTGAAACCCGTGACGCTCGCGATTCCCATGATGTTCGTATTCTCAAGCAGGAAGAGGACTGGTACGAGGATGAGATTAGTGAGCGACTGAGGAGGCTGGAGAGGCATGAGAAGAGCCAGCGCATGGAGGAGGAACAGCGACAAGCGGAACACCGCTGGAAACTCCATCAATTTGAAGAAGCCCAGCGCCATGCTAGGGAGGAAGATGGCGTCAAATCAAAACTGCGCGAAGAGAAGCTTAAGGAGCTCCGACACAAAATTGAAGAGGAGGAAGAGCAGCGCAAAGCAGAACATCGTTACAAGTTGCGTCAGTTTGAGGAAGCCCAGCGCCATGCTAAGGAGGAAGACAGCGTCAAATCAAGACTGCGCGAAGAGAAGCTTAAGGAGCTCCGACACAAAATTGAAGAGGAGGAAGAGCAGCGCAAAGCAGAACACCGTTACAAGTTACGTCAGTTTGAGGAAGCCCAGCGCAAAGCTAGGGAGGATGAAGATGTCAAATCGAAGCTGCGTGAGGAGAAGCTCAAGGGTCTTCAACGCAGAATCGACGAGGAGGAGGCGCAGGAGCGACTCAAAGAGCAGATCCGTCAGGAAAAGCTCAAGGAGCTCCAGCGTAAGATTGACGAAGAGGAGGAGCGCGAGCGGATCAAGAAAGAGATCCGGGATGAGGAGGCGAGAGCCCTGCTCGCAAAGCAGGAGAAAGAACGTAAAGAAGCTGCGATGAAGGCAGCCGCCATTGAGGAATGGAAATTGAACGAGGAGCGGCGGATCAACGCCGAAAGAGAAGCGAAGCGGAGGCGCGACGAAGAATTTAGGGCTCGACTGAGGATCGAATTCGGTTACACGGAGGAAGAAATTGAAGAGATAATCACCAAAAAGAAGAAGAAGGAAGAGAAAGAAAACGGCAAGGAGGAAGAGAAGGAGAAGAGAAAGGAGAAGGAGAAGGACAAGGACAAGGAGAAGGAGAAGGAGAAAGAGAAGAAGAAGAAGGGAAAGGAGAAGGAGAAGGACGACGATGATGAAAGTGAAAAGGAAGAGAAAGAAGAGCACCGGCGGACGACGTGGATCAAAGTATGCCACCTAACTGCCAATACTTTCCGTGTCTGGTCAAACTAACATCAATGTCTAGGTCCACCGCAGACATCTTCTGCCTGACACTCTAATGGCTTATCACTTGCCCTGGGACTGGGATGACGTGAGTGCCCTCGAAGGATTGGTATCTCCGAAGTAGGCAATGCTAACTGATAGGTGTCAACAGCGCGATAGCAACTATATCATTATCAAACAATGGATCTCAGAAGACTTCCAGGAAGAGCTCTTCGATCACACCCGGCGACTTCGCGAAGGCAAACTCATTACCCAGACCTCCAACACATTGACGGAGTTGAAGGTCAACGACAGGAAGAAGGACAAGATGTACCTTGTGCGGAAAAAGAGCCCCAGCCGGCGGGCATGGATTTTTACTTGATCAGCCGATTGAATTGTTTGCGAAACATAAGTGATACCACTATACGTCTGCTTTTCATGATTTAGGATTTGGTGTCTCAGCTGTTTATTGGTTTTTTTTTGTAAACTTTGATGACATATTGGTCCTGAAATGTGTCGCGTTGATGTCCATTTTTCGTCGTGAGTTGGGATTGTGATGATATGTTCGCACCTATATATGATACAATGATGATTGCCACGATGTATACCCAAACTCCTTTATGGTCCAACCCAAACTCCCAAATAAATGCTCGAGCAAAATAAAGAAATAGGTTATTGGTTATACAGACACCTAGCACCTAGTCCCTTGATGCCCAGTGCTTCTCCGCATGAAGGATCAGCTCCTCATAAACTGTCCAAGCGAGTGCTGAACTTAGCGCTTTTCTGGTGATACGCAACCCTAAGCCGCCCAACAAGCTCCGCACGCCATCTTCATGAATCATCATCTTCACCGCTCGCATCATGTTTCCGTACTTGTTCGGCATAAGTTGCAGTCGAGTCTTGACCGCATCAAACGGGTTAGTAATCGCAGTAGCAAGACCAGCCGCCAATGCTCCAGAGACAAAGTTGATTGATGAAGAGGATGACTTTAGCGATTGATCACCAGTACCAGAGTCGGCCAGCGATGCGAAGCGCCGCTTCAACTGCTCATAAAAGAGAACATAGAGCCCTGCGTACGGGGCATCACGTGCAGCGGTTGCCCCAAACCCAGCAAAAAGTCCTCGCACACCTTCTGTACGAAGGATATCGCGTCCTGCGCTGTACAGACTGCCATATGCGTAATAACTCGATTCATAGCGTACTTTTAGCACGGTGACGGGCATCATCACGAATCCCGCCGCAACGCGAGCGGCCGCACCCGTGGCAAGGTTGGCCGAGTTCGACAGTTTTGGAAGGGCAGACGAAGATGCCATACCTTTACCGTTTGCGCTTGCGCTGGAGAGGGCGACCGGGACTCCGGTATGCGCTAAACCTTGTCGTAGGGCATTGAGACTTGTGAAATAGAGCGCTGAGCCGAGGCCTGTGCGGAGTGCGGAGGGAAGGGTCCCACGCCATAAGCCGCGAATTCCATTCGGGGAAGAGATAATGGATTTTATTGTCGGTAGAAGCGCGGCGTTCTGAGACTGCTGGACTCGAGTCTTGAGAAGGTCTGCTGGTTGGAGGAGGATGGCGGAGCTGAGACCGGAACAAAGGCCAGCGGCGAAATGAAAAGTAGTTTTTGATGCTGCCAGCAAATTAGACAGGAGCAAATGCGTTTCGCCGTAACGAAAGAATTCTAATTTCTTCTCCAGTGGGCCGAAGAAAGAAAAGAGTAGCACAAAAGGTCGTAAAAGAGAGGAACATACTCGTAGTGGCAGAGGCCTTTTTCACCTGGGGCACTGCATATGCAGCGCCGTTCGACATTGCAATATTATTGCACAGGCCCAGCCTGGACGTTCACGAATCGAAGTTTATATGCGCTTTGAAGGTTGATCAGGCAGGGATTATGACAGCAGATTCAGTTCATCCGCAATGGACACCGCTTTTTTGTAGATGACGAGAATCTTGCGAGAGACCGGGATGCGGTCACAGTCACGAAGGGGGCGGCAGAGACCACATCTCAAGCGATACAGAAAAAGTAATTGTGAATTGGAGAGGTGAGATCTGACATGTACTCAGATCAGGAACGATGTAAGGTTCCAAAAAAACGGAATTGCCGGTAGCATTTTTCCTCTCGAGCATCGCGGTTGGTGAAGTCATCAGAGCTCCGTTCCGGATCTACTATGATTGGCCGGATATAGTTACGGGCGGCCACATGCGGTGTATTTCCGGTACTCGATTACAGCGATCAATTTGCTTCAGGAAAGGTGTGCAATACGATATAGTTACAGTACATCGGCTTAACTAACTTTTATTCCAAACGGAATGCGCTCCCTGGCCACGAGACTTTTTAGTTGGTGTCCATATAGTATCTTTGGTGCAGTCAGGCCTGCGACGCTACCTGGAAATGTACATATGTACCCATCCATGGATGCACCGAGGCATATGTATGGAATCTTACCAATTGGGAGACGATTTCCCGTTGGACGAACTAGCCTTGAACTCTCCCGCAGAGACTCCGGGGAATGAACCTTTCACCTGGAAGTACTCTGTACATACCTTAGAAACCCTCATTTGGTGTCTCATCCAGGGATCTTCATGAAATTTAAGGCCGAATGCATCCATAGCTAGGGCAAAGTCAAAATTACACCCGCACTACAGAGTACTGTACTAAGTAGTCAAATGTTACCAGCCCAAGCAATGATTCGGAAGTTGGCGGAGTCACAGGCTAGCCAATCGGTTTCCTGCAAATGCGGATTGACAGCCTGCGATGCTTGACCTACTCGTAATCAATCGACGTCACGGGTCTGGATGAACCGAACGGATGTCGAGTTAGTTTAGGTAGAAAGTAACTCCACGAACGCCAGTCGACGCTTCTTCCTTTGTACATCTCTTTCCTTTTTCTTCCCCTCTTTGTACCTGCCATGCACTCTTTTCTATAACTCCACCCGATAATTACCCCGTCACAACAGAGATTGACCATTATCCGTGGACAGCCGGAGTCGGTCTCTGCCCGTAATGCCTGAGTGGCCTGCCCTTCCCTTCTTTCCATATCCGCCTTCTAAGGCTGGGTACTGGAGTCCCGTTACGTCGACCTTGAATTGGTGCGAGGAGGTGCGCCCTCCATTTTTTTTTTTTTTTAAGTATTTCTCTTCTGTTTGATTCACTCCTAATGTTCCCATGAAAATAGGATTATTATGCGACCATCTACTCCGCCGAGATTGTCAACGCTCTGACAAACCTTCTGTTCATGTGGCTTGGCATCAAAGGGCTATGCAGTTGCAGGCGCAATGGACATGATTCGATCTTTCAAGTGGCATACTATGGTTATCTCCTAGTTGGAACGGGGAGTTTCCTGTTCCATTCAACCCTGAAATGCAAGTGATATATCTCTATATTCCTTCTATGAGGAGCGTTCGGTAACTCGGGCTTACTAACCTGCTCTTTCCAACAGATCCCATGCAACTTGTCGACGAGCTTTCCATGATCTACACCACATGTTTGATGTGCTATGCTTCCTTTTCTTACTCGAGACCGACAAGCATCCGTGTATTCTTAGCCATTGCACTGACCAGTCTGGCCGTCTTTATCACGCTCTATTACCACTACCTTCAAGACCCCATCTTCCACCAGAATGCATATGCTATTCTGACTATTGTCGTTGTCCTGCGGAGTATGTACACCATGGAGGTAACCCTTCGCCCTAAGTGGCGACACACCACCGAGGAGGACCGGATAGCACGTGAGAAACAGGATCTACCCGTTCCCTCGAAGGAGCATCAACATTACGAGAATGTGCGAGATGTCAAGATTCTGAAGACCATGTGGTTCATGGTTATTTATGGGCTGAGCATGTTCCTCGGCGGCTTCTTTATCTGGAATTTGGATAACCACTTTTGCACTAAGATCCGCGGATGGCGTCGGGTAGTGGGGCTTCCGTGGGGTATGCTCCTAGAAGGTCATGGCTGGTGGTATGTTTTCCTTTCCCTTGTCCTTTCTCTTTTCTGCGCTGCCGGAGGTGTTCGCTCGTACCATGCGTGCTAACATTGTTCTGTTGCTAAGGCATCTTATGACCGGCATTGGTGCGTACCTCTATATTATCTGGGGCATTTGGCTGCGCCACTGTTTGAACAACCGTCAGGAAGAATATTACTTGTGGTGGCCGCATTTCTGGAACTTTCCGGAGATCATCCGCATTGGCTCCAAAGACAAGGGCGAAAATGGCGTGGCCAAGAAATCAAACTAGGCTAGTATAACTGTTATTACTGACACCATATCTTTACTCCGTTTAAGCGAGCATTGTGGCCAGGAGCTACGGTTGCTTGGCTATGGCCCTGGCATCTATGTTTGGCTTATTCATTATAGACATTGGTTTTGGCCTGGCCAGGACTTTATTATTATAGAGAACAGGATGAGAAAAATGAAGATGATATTACAACTCACAGCGTGATTTAGGGTCTTCAATATTATGTTGCTTATCCTATTATCTCACATGAACCTCATCGACGTACGCTATATTCATTGAGGGCAACATAACTCCTGTGTAGCTGCGGGCCCGTCTACCAGTCTTCACAGCTTTGGCTTGGAAGGGCCCTTTTTACCCCTCACAGGGGCGGGGACGTGTTCCTTCCAGCGCGGATCAATGGTGATTTTCTCAACTTTCGACTTCCGACTCCACTGCTCTCGGAAACTCTGGTCTTCCTCTCGCCACCGCCGCAGTTCCTGACCCAACCACTTGCTGGCTGCTTCGGCGCATTCAGTCGGTGCTTCCTGGGCAAGGAGATGTCCGTATTCTTTGAGATAGACGTCGCGAACTCGACCAGCTGCTGCCCCGCCGCTGCCACCTAAACCTACACCAGTGTTGGCCATCTTGTCGGCCATCATCTCGGGAAGACACATATCCGATTTGCCGCCAAATATGTACATGACACTAGGTCGGAGGTGCGGTATCTCAGCGAATATGCGCGACGGCTCAGGACGGTAGAAGGGGAAAGACCCCAGGTGATTGGGGTCGAGGTCGGGATGTGTCACCCGATTCACCGGTACATCTTTGCCCGGAGGCCCGTCGTAATTGGGGCGTGAGAAGGTAAATACTTCTTGGTGAAGGGGTGTCGTCAGGGTGACAGGTCGTTCGCCGTCCTTGGATGCTTCGTTGGGAATTTGATGAATAGCTGTGGGAAGTTCTCGCAAGCCGTGTTTAACCCAGCGGTCAAGGACACGGGAGTCCCAGGCTTGGTAGAACGGACTTCGATTGAAACCCTCCGCAGCGGCCTTTCGGGAAGGCCAGATATCCCGTCGATAGGTTGATAGTTGGGTAGTTTTGGCCATGGCCAGTTTGCGCTTATCGGCCGACAGGGGATCTAGTTGTGTCGTTTGTCGCTGGATAACAGGATCTAGCAGGACAAGTGTATGGATGAGTCGAGGATGCATCAGGCATAATTTCGCACTGTGATGGTTTAAGCGTGTTAAGAAGAGTTGCGAGGCCCCATCCTGCAGAAGACTTACAGGTGTGCGCCGCCAAAGCTATGACCGATCCCGACGATTGGACGAGGCATCTCCTTGCGCTTTACGTTGACGAGGTGAAGGAGGTCTCTGGGATGATCAAACCAACTAGCTGTTCGCGCACAGTGTTAGTTTTAGGGTATTCGCCGTTTGGTTGGTTCGTACCATCCAGTGGAGATATTGTTACGTACGGTCGTTGCCCAAAAGATCTTCGTTGGCTACATAACTTTGCCCTTGATGCGCAACGTCTGCTATCCAAATACTTCGGATGTGGAAGCCATTAGCTTTGGACCGAGCATGTAGTTCTTCCCAGAGTGGTTCATAGAGTTCCTGGTAAACAGCATTAGCTTTATGTTCCCAAAAAAAAAAAAAAAAAAAAAAAAAAAAAACAAAGCAAGTCACAATTAATTGACAGCGCAACTAAAATCAAGGACGTTGTACCTTGGGAAAACCATTCGCATGGGTCGCAAGAATAGTGACATCACCTGGCTTAGGATTAGGGTTATCTAGGGGAATATACTGCTTGACAGCTAAATGCAATTCATCTTCCTGTTCGTTAGCCGTAGCCGCGGGATATTCCCGAATATGCTGGCATTCGACCACATGGTGGACAATGCGAAAAGGTCCGGAAATTGTAGGGCAAGACATCGCATAGGTATCTCTTCTATTTGGGAAAGTATTGGTCCATCATGGGCCCGCCTGGGGCTTTTAAAAGGCGGAGGGATCCCATGTTATGGTCTGGGGTAACGGAGGTGTGCCCAAGTCACTTTTGCCGTGGACTGGATCGATGAGCCGAGGTGAATTCCCACAATCAACTCTGAATGGCCCGAGAAGCAGTGCCGAGCATTTTGCATTATTATCTTGCATTATGCACTAAACAAACCTACTAGTATATTATGGGCATTATCTAGAAGCAAACATGACACTCTAGATAATCTACAAGTGGAACTTTCGGCCCATCTTTTTCAGTTCTTCAACAGACCTTCGGTGAAGACCTGTAGCACATAGCATGGTCGGTTAAGTATCGCCCTTTCGTATATGAACGGTGTCACCACCGTCGCCATTATAATTTCTCAAGATGGGATACCCCACGGCATGACCGTCTCGAACTGGTTATGTGTCAGGAGAGAGGAATAGTAGAATGCGAATGCGTTGATTACACTTGCGGTAAATGGTGCGCACACGTGATCAGGTGTCGTGTTGGCGCGTTGGCGCGTCGCATCGCATAATTGTAGTAAAACGCCGCCACCACAGATCTCAGCTGCCAGTCAACTAGCAATATTGAAACCATACTTTTGTGACTTTGATAAGGCATTATATACAACAAGAAAGGAAACAGTAATACCGTCAATTCCCACCATGGGGAGCCGCGAAGAGGAGCTTCAGCTCTTCGACCAGTGCAAGATCTGTATAATATGCTCGAAAGACCTCAGCCTCGATACGGCGCACCAGGTACGCATCGGATGAACTATCCTTCATATGCCTTGGATACAATAGACTCTTACACGCATGCCCGATAGCTTGCGACAACCCTCGAGGAACAGGGTGGTGAATCCGTCATTTATGAACCGCCCGCTGCGTTCCCACCGTTACATGAATTTAGCCATCTCGTATCTACCACCATCGATTTCCCGACATTTGACGCTGCCAATGATGCTCTGATCCCTGTCGTCAAACCGCAATGGCTGCATGCATGTCTTAATAAAAGAAAGCTGGCAAATCCGCGACAGTACAGTCCCGACCCACGACTATTTTTGAACGATGTTGTGGTTACCTGTGGTGATATCCCAGAAGGCGATAAGGATGCGATTATCGGTGGTGTGCTGGCAAAAGGGGGGCTCTATAGCCCCAGGATAACACAAATGGTCACTCACTTGGTCGATCTGACCACGGACTCAGACAAGGCTCGAGTGTCTCTTGGCAAGAAGTTGAATGTCAAGATAGTGCTTCCGCACTGGTAAGACCCCTGGGTTTACAATGGCAGAATATTGGAAAGTTTCATTAACCTGATATTCGCCAGGTTTGACGACTGCCTGAAACTCGGACGACGAATCGACGAGCGCCCATATATTCTGCCAAACCCAGAAATCCTCCGTGCAGGCCCCGATGCGCCGATCCGCTCTACAGAGAACCGAGATATTGTCGGAGCTTCCACAGCCGAACCAACTACTCTACCGACACCTCGGCCAAAGCTCGATGTATTTGAAGGGAAGCACGTCATGCTTTCCACAGACCTTGGGATTGGCTCGCACTTATTAGATTCGATCACAGAGATTATCGAGGAAGGCGGAGGCACTGTCACATCTGATGTCTCCAAGGCAGAAGTCTTGATATGTCGTTACAGAGAAGGCTATGCGTATCGCTTGGCGTCGAGGCTGAATAAAGAGGTTGGAAACTTATCTTGGCTTTACCATTTGGTAACATACAACACCTGGACTTCGCCGCTGCGGCGATTGCTGCACTACCCTGTGCCGCGCACTGCCATCCCGGGCTTTGAAGGATTCAAGATCAGTTTGTCCAATTATGTTGGAGAAGCTAGAGCTTATCTGGAAAATCTAGTCGCCGCATCAGGTGCAGAATGTACTAAGACCTTGAAACAAGACAACACACATTTGGTGACTGCTCATGGAAACAGTGAAAAGTGCTCCGCAGCGAAAGAATGGGGACTGCATGTGGTCAATCACCTGTGGCTTGAAGAGAGCTATGCAAAGTGGAAGCTGCTGCCGGTTTCCGATCCCCGTTATACGCACTTTCCTCGACGGACCAACCTAGGCGAGGTAGTCGGTCAAACACGGCTGGACAGGAGTGTTCTCGAAAGCCTCTTTTTCCCTTCAGACCACAAACCTGAAGCTGCCACAAGCCCGCGTCGAGTTATGCAGAACAAGGATCAAAATGCTACAACCGGAAAGGCGACAGCTTCCATGCAGCTACCACGAGTGAAAGGACCGGAAGAAGATGACGGAGATGCCTCGGATACAGGGAATGCAACACCAGCCGGCAAGTCGCGGAAACTCTCAGATAGCAGGAAGCTACAGACGCCTGCGCGTACCCGACTTACGTCGGAAGGCAAGGAGAATGATACGCCATCCTCCACAAGCAGTCGGAAGTCCAAGGAAGCCGCGGCTGCCCGTCTCCATGATATTGCCCCGGATATTGCATTGTACGAGAAGGAAAAGAAGCGTGTTGGTGGTGTGATCTATGGAGGTCGCAGGAAGACGGATGAGGATCGCGTTACATTAAATGCTAAGAAGCGAAGATCACTCGAGCCTGAGGTCAGGAGCGATGAGGACGAAGCGACAGAGGCAAAGAGGCAGAAGAAATCAAAGCCTCCCGTGACAATGCATCTATTAATCACTGGGTACCAGAAGTGGGTAGGAAACATGAAGAAAGAAGATGCAGACAAGGTTTGTGAAAGTCTCCTTATGTTATTATGGCTTTATTCGCCGCGGGACAGAAACTGATGATATACAGCGACAACTTCGAGAGCTTGGAGCCCAGGTTGTCCAAGATGCCCGGAAATGTTCTCACCTTGCCGCCCCGTCTATACTTCGAACGCCTAAGTTCGTCAACGCGCTTGCTTATAGCCCAATAATTATTAGCACCGATTTCATTACAGCATGCCTTAAAAAGAACGAGCTTTTAGATCCTGCCGGTTTCCTTTTGGAGGACAAGGCTGCAGAAAAGCGATTCGGGTTCTCTCTAGAGGTAGCCTTAAGCAACGCCAAGAATAACAAGAACAAGCTGTTGCAGGGGTATCAGATCTATTGTGTCGACGCCATCCGAGGGGGTTTTGAAGCCTTCAAGTCAATTGTTGACACTAATGGAGGCAATTTTTCGCTCTTCCGCGGACGCGTCTCGTACCAAACACAACGAGAAGAGAGCGATGATGACAGTGACGAAGATGATAACTGGGGTCGGAAAGAAGTGTATCTTCTCAGCAGTGTAGTACCCGAGCACCAAAGGCTATGGCCACGGTTCCGCCAGATGGTTCAGGGTATTGGGAAAACACCGCGGATTGTACGCGTCGATTGGCTTCTTGACATTGTGATGTCGCAAGAATTGCGCGCAGCAGATGAGTATGAGCTGAGTGAAGACATGGCCGACAAGATGGAGGAGTAAGCTCATGTCTAGACGGGAGTTAAGGTGTTCCTGTGAGATGGTTTTGCTTTTTGCTTGTCCAGGCTTTTCTGGGCCTCCCTCTCGGGGTTCTTGACCTGCGGAGTGTTTCTTCTGTGTATATTCTGGAATTATCATGTAGAAGTTACTGATCGTATCCGAGCGATTTAATGAACAGCCATGATGACAGTGCATGATTTCAACGCCTGCGCTAGATAATTGCTTGCATCAGAAAAACTTAACACCTTCCTGGCCCTCATTACCAAAGACCTGGGCCTTGCCCCGTTTCACGAGGACATTGAGCGATTTCATCATAACATCTACATCCATGCCATGCCATTCTATCGAGCGTCAGCAGACCTCACGCAACACCCGGAACACCCACACATGACCTACCTTGTGACATAGTTGCCTCCCCTTCAACTAATTCATAAACCGTCAAAACCACGTTCTTTTGTCCGGTAATCTCAATCTACCCCCCCCGACACCAATCATCAGGATCCAATCGTTTGCCCATCCGGAAAGATAACATACCCAATCTGCCAGAATTCCCGCCCACTCCTCCGGCCTCTTCCACCAAACCCAAGCAATCGTCTTATTCGCTCCATCAACCCACTCCGCCCTCTTACCTCCTCCACCCTTCTCTTCGCTCTCTGCCATCCAGTCCAGGATATTTCGCGCCTCGGACAGTGGAATTCGTTTCCGCAGCGTCGAGTTATGGAATAGCGGTGACTCGATAGCTTCTATTAAGGAGAGACGGTACGTTCGGTGATGGCGACACCAAGATTGAATTAATAAAGACCATTTCTGGAGCTGCGAGAGTCGTGTTGTGCTGTTCGGTTGGGGGGTGAAGAATGGAGGGAACGAGTAGGTCGGTGGGAATTGAAAGGGGGCTGGATTCGACATCTTCTTCTCTTCTCTAGGTTTCGTTTAGATGCGATGAATCCGTGGTTTTGTCAATATGAGTCTGTTGTTTAAATTATAGAGTGTATGTTTGAGGATATTGACGTGCGGAGGGGTTGATAACGGTTTGATAGATAGATAGGTGGGGAGTTGGAGTGATACCGCTTTGCTCAGTGATGAGAGGGTTAATAAATGAACTGGTCCGCGATGATGAAAATTGAAAATCGGAAGATAGCTATATAATAAATAAGCGCATAACACGGTTCTAAAACGAAAGTCGTTGAACGAGAATCAAATGGTAGGAGACTTGGGGAAGTTTGAATCTAAGTGACAGATGATTGATTGCGCATGAGCTTTTATCTCCGGGTCCCCCATAACCTTAACTCCATTTAAATCTCGAAATAAATTTCCGCACCTCATCCGATCGCATCGCAGTTGAATGCACCCTACCTCCTCCACAACGCCCGTCAATCGTTTCTGCACAACTTTACTTCGCGACCTAATTTCAGACACAACAGCATAATCGACCAGAATCACAATGTCCGCTCATCCGGCCAAGCGCCAAAAGCGCGACCAATACCGTAAAAAAGCGGCCGCCGCAGCCAACGAAGACACGGACAAGGTTAAACTGCCCCAGAAGAAATTCTATCGGCAGCGTGCACACGCGAATCCCTTCTCAGATCATAGACTGGATTAGTATGTAGATCTATCAATTACGTGCGTGAGTTGGTCTTGTGGGTGCTAACTAAACGCTCTAGCCCGCTCAGTCCGGCGCATATGGACTGGTCGTCGCATTATCCGGCGTTTGTGAATCCTGATCCTGAACAAACGAATCTGGCGGGTGCGAGGAAACTCTTGAAAGATGTCGAGGTTGTGGATATTGGATGCGGGTTCGGTGGCTTGCTTGTTGGCCTTGCGCCGTTATTACCTGAGACCTTGATGCTCGGTATGTTCATGACCCTGTCAATTGATTTATCTTATCCTGCAGTCCTTTTCAGTTTCCGCTGTAAAATAAACTAACAATCAACTAGGTATGGAAATCCGCACCCAAGTTATCGAATACGTAGAAAACCGCATCCAAGCACTACGAACCCAACAGAACAAGCTCAAGAACTCCTCTACAACCGCCACCGATTCCCCAGCTCCGTCAACTACCGCCGAACTGGCCACCGATGGAGCTTCCCCGGATGCAGACGCCACCGCCGAAACATCCACTAGCCTTGTCCCGGGCGGGTATCAGAACATCAGCGCCCTCCGCAGTAATACGATGAAGTTCTTCCCCAACTTCTTCCGCAGACACCAACTATCTAAGATCTTTATTTGCTTCCCAGATCCTCATTTCAAAGCCAGGAAGCACAAGGCCAGAATCATCTCCGAAAATTTGAATGCTGAATATGCCTATGCGCTGAAGCCTGGGGGTCTTTTGTATACGATCACTGATGTGGAGGAATATCATCATTGGGTTTTGAGGCATTTCCGAGAGGAAGGTGAACAGCAGGCGAGTGAAGGTGGAGTCAAAGATCTCTTTGAGCGGGTCTCGGAGGAGGAATTGGCAAATGACCCCTGTGTGGAGGTCATGAGGGAGTGTACGGAGGAAGGCAAGAAGGTCACTAGGAACAAGGGAAACAAGTATGTGGCTGTTTTCCGTCGCAAGGCCGACCCTGAATGGTCTGCTTGATATTTCCTAGTTATCTACATTGCTGCTTCTGGCTACGGTGTTCCATACTAGCGTCGATTCTATGCGGTTAGAAACCAGTACTCGGACCCCTGATGTATGTATATAGTTGTTTCAGTTATAAAAGCCTATTAACCCGAAAAGAAAAAAAAGAATAGAAAAGAAACTAAGTTAAAAGCCAGTTCCATGACCCTGTCCCTAGCTCTATGACACCCAAGAAGTACGACAAGCTGCCAGACGCTACTAGTATTTGACATACACTCACATGACACATATTCCCGCTTGCTGCATATGCAATAGTTGGCATAACTTGTAACATGCATAACATACCCAAAATAAGAAATGAAATGAAATGAAAATGAAAAAGAAAATCAAAAAGACAAGACTCTACTTCCAACACCCAAGATGCTGCGAACAGTTACAAGCACTGTATGTAAGTCAATAAAACTTCGTTTAAATGATGAATAAACGTGTCTTCTCGGAGTTTCTCGCGCGTTACCATCAAAGCTAAGGCGACGCCTTCAGTCGTATACCCTCGCATCTTTCGCATACAGGTAGCTGGACTGGGCCTCCAATGATGCGGCCTTTTGCTGTTCTTTTGGGCTCGCCTTCTCGGACAAAATATCGTCCGTCCGGCCCAAACCCGGCACTGCATTCGTGACAGACAAAGCACTCATCATGCCACTGACCTCCGACAGCCGTGATGACAACATCATCGAGTACCGGTTTTTTGCACCCCGAGCATCGAGGAGCAGTGCGCCGGGAATGGCATTGAAGACACCATGCAAAGCCATCCTTTTCTACAAACGGTGTTTCATGGTCAAAAGGCTGTGGAAAAGTATAGTTAGCATATTATTACTTAAACTTCAAGCTCTTAGGTTGGTCGTACATCACCACACTCGGCACAGAAGAAGTGGCCGACATGCCATTCAGCACCACATGCTACAACCACTTCTCCTTCAATAGGGGTCTTGCAGCTCTTGCATCTCGGGCTGAAGAGTTCATGAAAGTCAAGATGACAGTAGAACCTCAGCAAACGGGCCTCCTCGTCGGTTGCCGAAGCGGCTGCCAGTCGTTCCTGACGTTTTGCATCAGGCTCTTGGTAGAAGGCCACACATTCAAGCGGTGTTTGACAATGATGGCACATGAAACATTCTGGATGAAACCGTGATCCGGCAGCAGTGACTATCTTTCCAGAAATCGGAAGAGTGCATGATTCGCACTTCGCCGTTGGGACGCCAGCCCGACTATAAGTTGATAGCCAACGGTTCTGCAGAGCCGATGATGGCGATTTCCTTTGGAATGGATTTTGGCGTTTGGTGCTGTTGGGTGAGGTCGAGCTATCATCTTTATTACGGTCCTCTGACGACCCTGCCATCTCAGAAATAGTAGGTGGCTTGTCATCCGGTAAGTTAATCACTGGGATAGAAGGCGCTTGAGATACCTCAATTGTTGGAGCAGCAGGTGCGGGGGGTGGTGTTGGTGAAGCGGATTCACGCGTTCCAACGTCGATACCTTTGCCTGGGGATTGGGCCTCAGTGGGCTTCCAGGTTGGATCAAAGCTGACAATCGGTCGGCCGGCGCGATCACTCACAGCAGTTGGCATGGGCAACCTTGTACTTCGGTCTCTGAGCTTCTTACTTGTCGCTGCTCGAATTTCGTCGCTCCGAATCTCAATTCCATCTTTTTTCGGAATGACTTGTTCATCATTCGAATTGGCCTGGGGGAGGGGATCGTTGGCCTTATACTCAGGGTTTCTTGACTGCGTTGGGGGATGCTTGTGTAGCTCGAAACGAGAGAGTTTATCGACAAACGAAAGGCTGCCAAATCGGCCAGAGAGGGGCCTCGAGCCTCGAGGCAGGGCATTACGTGGTTTGACTTTTAAGGCTGACGAATCAGATTTTGAGAAATCAGGACGTTCATCATCCTCCACATTCTGGGACTCCCCAGGCTCTTCATAAATGTGGTCATTGGGATTTCGAAAAACACTCTTGGACGAACCATTGCCGGCATTCGCGAGGCCTAGTCCGTAACCACTGCTCGATCGTTTTGACGGGCTCCCATTTCGAGGCAAGGAAAAGTCAACTTTGAGATTCTTTCGAAGTGTGCCATTCTTTCTGGGGCTGGAATTTTGTTCGTCTAAAGCAGGCTCCTGTTCCTCAGCGCGTGCTCTGGGGGAGTCCGAGTAGTTGTCTGATATGGGACGATAACTGTCCCGCCGTGGGCTTCTGGAAGAGAGTGCGTGACTAATTAAAGTGCTACTCTTATCTGATCCTTGACTGAGTCTTTCCATATCGGGATTACGATAAGGAGCGTATGGGTTCTTGAAAGGCAATCCAGGGTTTTGGTGCATCCAAACCAGTTCTGTGGCCTCATCCTGGGCAGCTTGATGGAGGCGAATGTCATCTTGGATATCCATCTCCTGTAGTGCATCTCGGAGGGATTGGGCTTCCTCCCTTTCAAACCGACGTCGGTAACTCTCGCGATACGCTGCGTTTGGAGACGGAGGACTTGGACGAG